CTCAAAGGAGGTAAACAAGTGTAATGAATGCAATAATAATTGAACATGAGTCACATTCCAAACAAATACTGCAAAAATTTCACATCCCCCAAAAAAATTTCACATCTGAACAGTTTACCAAGTTGCGTGTATTTCAAAGCAGATGGCTCACGAGGTACTATTTATCTTAAATATAATTCCCTCCTTATTATAGACTTCTGGTTTTGTTTTAGTTATTCTTGGTATATAATAACTTGAAATAATTTATCATAATTGGATTAAGGAAGTTTAGGATAATTGAATCAAGGATTGTGGAGCTAAAGGACAAAGCTATGCCAGGCCTTTAGCTCCACATCATCAAAGATAAAAATAAATTACATCAAAAGAAGGGTACATCAAATAGAGTAAAAATTTAGAAAGCCAAAAACAAATTAAAAGCTTTATAAGATAATGCCTTCCACATGAGAAAAAAAGGTAAAAAATCTAAGGTCTTTTATATAAATTTTGTGTCAAAACGTAAGGACTAGAATCAGTTTAGGAGAAAGCAGTCATCATTCAATAAAATTTCAAAAAGAATTTAAAAGTCGGCAAGCATAATTCCTTGATTCTTGATGTCATTTAATAAAAAGTCTAAAAGTCGCAAGCAAAACGCGGAAAGGGAGCAATCGTGAGGTCAATAAGCTTGTAACTCGTTTGTACTGAGTCTTGAGAGGGGACATGTTAAGCAAGTCTGAAAGTATAAGGTCAGTCTTTCAGCTGAGTAGGAGGAGAGAATTTTGGCCGCTATTCAATGCAGCATTTAAAAAGCCAGATAGCAATCAACCCCTTAGGGTGGAGTGAAAAGGTAGAAAAGCAATCTTTTTATGAAGGAAGAAAGAAGCATTTAAGTGGCATTTAAATCGTAGTCGCAGACTCTTGTTAAAGAGATGATAGACGACTTTTATTAAAGGGTCTTGTTAAAGATTCTTTAGTGTTGGATCTACCCACCAGTGCCCTTTGCATTGTGGATGCAATGGCGTGTTAGGAAAGGAATGTGAAATACGTATCCAGTCAGACCACCGTACTTGCATAATGATGCCTTTTGAATGGAGGTTGAGAATAATCTGGTTGTAAAATTGCTCTTGGCTGCTTTTTACTTCCTTGTACAAAGTAAAAAGGAAGTATTGTAATCGCAAAAAGTTTCAGGCAGCATATTTCAACGAAAATATCTATTTTGACCGCTATCGAATGCAATTTAACGATGTTTTTGCATGATATCTGTACGTAAGGACAGAATAAAATACTCTTTTCCTTCAAAAAAATTATAAAACTGCTTTAAATTAATTCTGAAGAGAATTTTTCTTGGCATCTGTATGAGCATATGTATGTACGTGCGTACGTACGTATCTCGCATAACTCAAAAACAAGTAGCCTCAGAACATTGAAATTTTGTATATAGGACTGCTATAACATGTAGATGTGCACCTCGTATTTTGGTTGCAATCGGCCGCAACAAATGTATATAAATATATTTATATATATATACATATCCACTCTGTTACCCGGCTCAGTGATCTCAGTTTCTTCACTCTTATATGTTTGTAAATTGTACATTTTTTGCTTTAAAAATGATTGTATCATGTTGTTTTTATCTTCCGGTTAAGATTTTTATGCCTTTAGTAAATCTGTATGCAATATTTTTACAGGGTTCGTAGCGGTCCTTACAAGTGCTTATAAGTCCTTATATTTGAAAATAAAATATAAAGGCCCTTATAGGTGCTTACTTTTTCTTTAAAGCACTTTTTTTTGTTTTTTTTTTTTTTTTTTTTTTTTTTTTTTTTTTTTTTTAGTGCTTATTTTTTGCTTTTAGTGCTTTTTTTAATGAACGCGCATTTTCCTCCCCCCATACCAAAGCGGAAACTAAATAACAACTTTTCTTCCTTATCTGGAACGTCAGATGGTGAATCATACTCCCGAAAATAGCTTTTCCCCCTTTCTTTGCAAAAAGATGTTTCACATTAACTCCAATAAAATAAGATCTTCAACATAACCTATGGTGCGCGCGATAGTACAGACAGGTGCACGTCGCTCTATTGGTCAAAAAATTGCGAAAACCGTAGAAAATTCCTGTACATTCGGTATTCTTTTCCTCCCATCCAAATACTACACACGTTTTAATTTCTATCAAGATTTTAATAATTTACATTCTCGTTCCGCGTGGTCAGTTCATATTCATGTTTATTATGATAGTTATGCTTATATTATGAGCATATGTATGAATATTTATAATAATATAGTTGCAGTAGCTGCTGAAGCGTAGATGAACTTCCAAAAATGGGTGTGTTTTTACACAGATTAGCTTTCTAAGGAATGATATTTGGAATGGCTTAAATAAAAGGAAAGTAATCAAATAGTCAAAATAATTTTTTTTTTTTTTCCCCAATACGTTAAACAGTTCGGAGGTTGGGAGTTTCTCCCCTTTCACCGCAAAATCTCTAATATTGAACCAGCGGACTTTTTTTTTTTTTTTTTTTTTTTTTGTCACTGTCCAGTCTGGATTGAATAGGACTAAAAGTTTTTGCGGTCTACCCAACCCAAGTGAAAAATGATTCTATCCGGAAATTTAAGGCAGTCTGTTCAAAATTAGAATCAAAAACACCCCAGATTAGTAAGTCTCTTTCTTCTCCTTTATTTAGTTGTGTATTCTCCAAATACTGGCAGCTGTTGATTCCGATTACGTAATATCACGTATGGAAGAATTACGCCGCACGTATTGCGCAATAATGTTTGCGGTGTTTTGCAGAGATAATTAATTTTGATGTTCAGTCTGAGATTTATTTATGAACACTTGAAATAGTTTTACTGTGCTTTCTAAGCAGAATATTTCTCAGTTCTCAGTTCCGTTGGTCTATTTTTATATGATGCACATATCGAAATGTCAAAATCATTTATTTAACCGAGAAATCTAAAGAACGGTTACAATCTCTCCCCCCCTCTTCCTCTTTTTCCAGTTACGCTCGACTATACGGAATATTCGGCAATTTCCAAGTATGCGGGTTAGTTAAGCTTTTACTGTTAAAAGATGACTGCATGAAGCAATTTCCCGTCTCCTGATTTCAGAAATGTTCCTCTTTTTTACTTAAATTACTTTGCTTGGAATATATGTTAAGAGAAAACTGTTATGCAATGAAAATTTAGAAAATGTTCAGAATTTTGATTTAAGTTAAATTATTTAAATATTAATGTGAGTGGAAAAGTAAATTGTATTTATTATTAGGTGCCAAGCGAATACAATTAATATAGCTTATTATTATTTATTTTCTATATTTTGAACTGAAATTTCATCATTAAATCTTGTAATATAGTTTAGTTCTGCATAGTTTTTTTCTCTCATTGTAAATGAATTCTGTAAATTGAACTATCATTTAAAATTTTTAAAAAAGTTAATTGTTTTCCATGGTTGAGGTAATGCTCATTCTCTTAATAAATATTGCATTGGAAGTCTAATTTTTGTTTTAAGGTTATGCAGTTGTGTATAATGTAGTTAAACAGGTGCTTATTTTTTTCTTAAAATGTGCTTGAAGAGTGCTTATAGGTGCTTATTTTTTTAACTAAAATGCGGCTACGAACCGTGTTTTAGAATTATCAACAATTTTAAAGTATTCTAAGTGCCGCTAAGCCTTTTTTTATGGCGACCATTGATGTTTACATTTGAAACAGAGACTAGTGGATTTGTTTCCAATATAGAGAAACTTAGCTTTGCAACAACAAAGATAATGCATTCATTTATTATTGCCAATTAAATCATGCTTAATTCTTTCTGGAATTTTTTCGAGGAAATAAGTGTTTAAGATTTACTTCGTAATTTTTAATATAGATATTTTGTATAATTGTAATTTTTAATTGTAATTGATTGTAATTTTTAATATAGAGTTTTTATATATTTTTGCCTTCTCGCGAAGTGAGAACTGAATTAATAAATGAGAAATACTCAATGGTCTGAAAAACAGTTTCTTTTTTGTTTTGTTTGCTTGATTTCTTTTGTACATCATTCTAGCTTTACTATAGTATTGAATAGAACGTATGGCAACGATTAGATAATTCTATTCTTTAAATGATATAAATTTTGTGCATTATGAGTTATAATATGAACAAAATATATAAGTCAACTGTTATATAATTATTGGATTATGTAACAGTTAACTCAGTTTCCGTTATATAATTATTATATAAGTCAACTGTTATATAATTATTAATACTGTTAAGTTAATCTAGCGCCAGAGTGTCCCTATTTTAAACAAATACTGTGAATTTTAAAGAATGCATTTATTCTATTGTGGTTTATGCGCTGTCGGCGAAGTAGATTTAATTCAATCCAATAAGTTTAAATGAAATGCAAGAAAAAATGCGTATAATTTAATATTTCGTACAAGGAAGTCGTGGTGTACACATCAGATTTTTTTATGACGTGACCACAGGATCATATACAGGCAAAGTATGCAGTATATGATCATATACAGGCAAACCACAGGATCATATACAGGCAAAGTATCCAATGAGATGGATATTTTTCAAAAATCTGTCCAAAAGTCGCTGTATAAAGTGATTAATGGGCATACTTTTGAGTTCATTGTTAATGTCATCGTTCCTTATGAGCCATGGAGCGTTTAGTATCTGTCTTAAAATTTCGATTGAAAAATTTGAACCTGTTTTCGATTAGAGCAACTGAGCCCATTGATAGGACTAGCATGGGTGATAATTGGCCTGATCGTTGATTTGTAAAGCAAGATCTTGTTATCAAGCGACAGGTCACTATTTCTAGCGAAAAAGGGGCACAGGTTGGCTTTGCCCGTCTTTACATTCGCAATAATATTTTTAACGTGAGGTTGCCAGGTAAATTTTGAATCTAGGATAATTGGAAGAATTAAAATTAATTTTTTAGTCGTATAAAAGCGATCTAGAAATTTAAATTCTTTTATATTTTATTCTACATTAAACATTTAATTTCTTCTGTATGGTAATAATAGTTTATTTAATTGCAGAGAAGATATTCCTCTGTGATGATACGTATTGTGAGTTACCCACAGCTTTGGAAGTATTTTGGTTACCTGTTATCCGAAGTTTACATCATTCAGAATTAATACCAGACTTTGTTGAACTCATGTTACTTAAACAAACAGATGAACTGATTTGTCAAAAACAAGTAGTTGCATGGGCAATCAAATTTATACAGGCTGGTGTCTTTTTTTGTAAGTTATATCTTAATTTATTTTCTCCAGTATTAGCCTCTTATATATGTATGAGAGAAACATGATTTCAAAATTTTTCATATTTATTAATTCCTTTTATGAAGTATAGTTGATATGCCCATATATGGAAAATCCATTGACTGCAAGAGACTGTACCAATCACACCAAACTAGAAAAACCCATTTACTAAATACAAGAAAAAATGTTCTATTATTATTTTTATTTCAAATTTATTATATTTTTCATTTATTTATATTTAATTTTTCATTATCTTTTATTAAGGAGATATACTGTAAAAGCAATTATTTTCACGAGAAAATATAAGTCTCGCAAAATATTTTTTTTTCCCCTCAAATAATAATAAAAAATTAATACTGTTCTGTAGTAGGCAGGTCCCAAATTTTAATCTCCCCGCCCAAAAAAAATGTGTGATAGAGGGGGAAAAGGAGTCTTTACTCTAGAATAATAACGAACATGTGTAATCAAGGTTACACCAAACCCAGCATGTTTGAAGAAGACTTTTTCATTTTTGGTGAAAAATCCTGTAGTTTGGCATCTTTTCTTTAATAGGCAAAAATGGTAGATGGGATTTTCTATAAGTATCCAACGTTTAAATAAATTTAAAAAAGAAATCGATGAGTATTAGGATTCTGTTTTAATTCTTTTTAATTAGAGAATTCTTTAGTTATTATTAATTAATTAATAAGAAAGTTATTATTAATTAATGAATCATGAAAAAAAATCGGCTGTTTTTAAGCACATTATTTTATTTATTTGTTTATTAAGTCTACTGTAGAAATTCGTAGAACTGTTTTTGAAGATTGAACCAATATTTAATCAGTTAATTTTGATATTTAATTTTACTTTGCATTAATAAAGGTGCATTACTAAGTTTCATTCACATAATAGTATGCACATTTAGAGTATATACATTAATTTCATTTTCTTTATATTTAAATATATTTTGATAAATGAAAGCTTTTCTTTCCTTCACAGTGTTTTCTCAGCGTAAAGTGCTAGGAAATTATAAAACAAAATTAGCCTAAGCACATAAAATTTAGAATATGTATTTAAATTTTAATGTATTTTACATTAGAATCACGTTATAAATAATTCGGTAATCTGAATTATGCATTACAAAGTGAATTTAAGTTGAAATGAAATTCTTTTGAAATGATGTCACTGTGTAATGTGAAATGTCCCTGGAAACTCCCAGGTTTTCATTGTATAGAAGTTGTCAGCTACAATATATATAAGAAAATATTTTTTAATTAAAGAAAAAGAATCAAACAAAATTATTTTGCATTAAAAAAGGTGCATTACTAAGTTTTATTCACATAATAGTATGCACATTTAGAGTATATACATTAATTTCATTTTCTTTACATTTAAATATATTTTGATAAAGGAAAGCTTTTCTTTCTTTCACAGTGTTTTCTCAGTGTAAAGTGCTAGGAAATTATAAAACAAAATTAGCCTAAGCGCATAAAATTTAGAATATGTATTTAAATTTTAATGTATTTTACATTAGAATCACATTATAAATAGTTCAGTAATCTGAATTATGCATTACAAAGTGAATTTAAGTTGAACTGAAATTCTTTTGAAATGATGTCACTTTGTAATGTGAAATGTCCCTGGAAACTCCCAGGTTTTCATTGTATAGAAGTTGTCAGCTACAATATATATAAGAATTTTTTTTTTTTTTTTTTTTTTTTTTTTTTTTTTTTTTTTTTTTTTTTTTCAGTTTTAGCAAAAATATTTTTTAATTAAAGAAAAAGAATCAAGCCAGATTTGCGATTTTACAAAATAATAAAACATATCAGAGATTCTTTATTTGGGTTTTATACTTGTTATTTTCAAAATTAATAAAATTGTGTTCTAAAAGTAGGAATAGTGCGTGCAGCATTTTTGGACAAAATTATGTTCTTTTTTTTTTTTTTTTTTTTTTTTCCCAGAATTGTGCTTTCTTTGGAAAACACCTTGTTACTATATATGCTACTTTGTAAAGGAAAAAAATATTCTTTTATCATTTTAGATACATTAGGATAATTGGACTCGTTCTACCAAATGAAGAGCAATTTTTCTCTTTTTATAACCTTTTCTTAACTTTTGAATAAAAATTGATTAGCCATTTGTTTCACATCCTGTGCATTTGAAGAACTACTTTTGCTGTACAATTCCTATAAGCTTTTATTGTTCATCATTTTCATTATTTTGAAATTTTAATTTTGTTAAATGATCATCTCTCATTTTCTTTAAGAGAAAAACTTAAGAGAGACTCTGAATTTCTTTTTCTGTTAATTATAGTAAAATGTTTTTAGCTGTTTGATAAAAAAATTTACAAATCTTAGATCCAAAATACTCTTTTTCAAGTCAACCATCCATCTTGTCAGGTAACTTAGTCTGCTGTGGAAGGATTGTCTTAGATAGATGATTCAGTGTCAGTTTGTGTTTATATTAAGAGAAATGCTAATTATTTTCATTGATAGTGCCATGAAAACATTCATTTTAGTTGTTTCTAAAAAGTGTTAAGGGGAAAAAAAAAAAAAAAAAAGAATTACTGAGGTTTTCTTTAAATATGTCTTTCATGAATTCAACATCAAGTAAATTATAAAACTTGATTTTTAATATTTATTGAATGCTACTGCTATTGGAAGGAATTTCAAAAATGACTGATTTTGATATTGCTATGTCATTAATGATTTTTCTAAAGATTTAGGTGTAGCACTCTTGCGTTTGGTAAGTGATGCATTCTGCAAACCTTTACATATCTTGAATTTGGTGCAAGTTAGTGAGTCCTTTTAATGTAATTTCATAAAAATGGTAATTTTTATATGTGCACACTTAACTAACATGTATATATATATATATATATATATATAACATAAGCAAAGGGAAAGAAGGACTATTTAAGAAGCCTGTGCCTAGGCTGCAGTGATTTAATTAAACATAATCAAATGAATGAAATGGGAATACTGCTATCAAAAATTTATTTTACAGAAACCAAAAGGTAAAATAAAAATTATTTTTGAAAAGAATTTTGAAATATTGTAAAAGAAAAAGTGACAGATGGAAGAAATTGCCTTACAAACACTAGCTGATAGTTGTAGAAAAGCAAATTAAATTAAGATGCAAAAATATAAATGCAGATTAAATGAAAATTATAGCAGTATCACAGAAATTTACTGAAAAATGAACAATTGGAAAGTCGTTTGTTGTCATAGGACTTTACGATAAAATGTCTACTATCTCCATGCAATGATTTTTTAATGCTAAATTTACTAGGTCTTTCTGTTGCTGATCTATTTCTGTTTAATTTTCTACACTCTCAATAGGAGTTTGCAAAAGGAATAATGCAATCTCTCGTCTGAAATCTAAAAGACTCTTTTTATTTCCAATAGTAGAAAGTTGTGATATCTTATATAATTTATCAGTATTGCCAATTTGACTGTTGTCAGCTAAATGCAAATTCTGCTTCATTTTCCTGTACTGCAAACATGATATCGATTCTCGTACAATAGGAACAGAAATGCCTTTATCAAGTGACCAATACATTTCTTTTTGATGTAAAGAATGATATCCTGTAAGCAATAATATTCTAATAAATCTTTCCATATAGGCTTCAGATGCAGTAAATTCTGAGAGATTTTTTTGCTCAGCACATATATATGTCTGTTCAATGAGAAGAGAGTAAATGCCTATACCAAAAAGAAAATCGAAAATCTCTCCAGTAGTTTTACCATGTATTTTGTCTTTTATAGTTTCTCTTCTCTCTCTTTATTTTCTTCCTGAGACATAACTGAAGGTTCCTTTTTTATCCATTTCAAGTTTTCAGTTTTCTGCTTTTTAAACTTTTTCTTATGACTACCACTGCTTTTAGAAGGCTGAAACTTGATTCTTACTTGAATTTCAACTTCCCTGGCGATATCATTTGGTAAAATATCATTATCATTATTTAAAACATTGTCATTCCTTTCTTCTTCATCAGTAGCTTCTGCAATTTCTGGGGAAACAACAACAATATCAGTTTCATTCTCGTCATTATTAACATTATCGTCATCTGTTTGTTCATCAAAAAAATCTTTTATGCGTTTCTTCTAATGTAAGATACCATGTTATAGGCATTTTTACAGCAGCCAGGACATGAACCAGAACATCAAAAGAAATTAGTAAAAAAGGAGCTTACCCGTTTCCTGCTGAGGTTGCGTCAGCACAACACCTGTTTTCCCTTCCTTCCCAACACAAATATAAACATCTGATTGATGTAATGTTCTGATAAATGGAACCTTGACTAAAAATAGATCACTTGTAAAGAGGGGGATTCTTTTGTTAAATATTTTCAGCAAAAGTACCCCGTCGAAAATTTTGCTCAAATGTTGGTTAAAATATGAGATTAATTATTATAAACAAAAATGATTGTTGAAAGCAAATATTTTTTTACAGAAATAATCTTCATAATATTTCCTACACAAAATCATCTGCTGGTACAAAATACCATAGGTAGTTATATTGTTTCATAAGAATAAATTGAATTTAAATACAAATTTAATTAATTCTTTGCGCCATTCCTGCAAGGAACGAAATTTAAATTTAAACAAATTTAAATTTTAACAAACATGTATATACATAAAAAAGCAAATTTAAAGTTAATATAATTAAAAAAAGTGTAAACATATAAAAGATTTAATTTTCGAACTAATCTACAATATCATTTAAATTCAGATAGCATAAGCAAATAAAGTGCAAAACCAAACCATGAAAATAAATTCACCAATTTAGCAAATTAAAATTAATCTAAATTAAAAAAAAAAAAAAATTCATAAGTGAATGACTGTTGAGCAGGCAGGAGACAGACTTATCAAGGTGAAGTTGCCTCCAAACCTAACTCTCCAATCATTCAATTCGTGTTTCGTTATTCATGCAGGCAAGGGTAAAAGTCAAAACTAAAAGTAAAGAGTGAAGAATGTCCAAAAAGAAATACCAATAAAGTGGTACCT